CGGCCGCCAGGTACCGGCCGTCGGGGGAGAAGGCCAGGGACACGGCCTGCCGCGCCGGCAGCTCGGCGGTCGCCAGCGCCCTCCGGCGCCGCGCCCGCTCCGCAGACAGCTCGTACACCGCCAGCACCGGCTGCTCCCCCGCCGCCTCCGACACCGCCAGGAACCGCCGGTTGGGGCTGACGGCCAGCGCCTGCACGCCCCGGCTCTTCTCGGTGCCTGCGGAGAGGAGAGCGGTCAGGGCGGGCCGCGGGGCCGGGGGAGCCGGGGGCCGGGGGAGCCGGGGGCCGGGGGGGCCGGGGGCCGGGGGGGCCGGGAGTCGGTGCCACCTGGGATGAAGTTGTGCCACTTGTGCTCGAGGTGCAGCCGCAGGCAGCCCGCCCCGGCCGCGTGCAGCACCACCTGCTCCTCCAGGAAGCAAACACCGCCGGCCACCCGCGGCCGGCAGCCGAACACGGCCACGGGCAGCACGGCCGCCGCCATGGCCCCGCTGCCCCGTCGCCCTGGTGACCGGGCCCCGCCGCGCCCGGAAGCGGCGGCGCACGCGGGCGGAAGGGGCGGTGGCGGCGGCGGCGGCGATGGCGGCGGTGGCACGGCGCGGGTCCCTCTCGGACCTCGGGTCGGACTCCGAGGACTCCTCGCTCTCGGACTCGGAGGTGAGACCAGGGCCACGGTGGGCGGCGGGGCCTCCCCCGGCAGCCGCGGCCTGACCGTGCCCGTCTCACAGCTCCAGGAGGCCTTCGCGAGGGGGGAGCTGAAGCCGGGGCTCAACGTGGTGCTGGAGGAGCGGCCGAAGCGGCGCAACGACGCGGTGAGCGGGGCTGCGGGGCAGGGAGGGCTGCGGGGCTCTGCACGGCGGCGGGGGTTTGCAGTGTGAGCCGGGCCAGCCGTGCGGGGCCGTGCAGAGCTGTGCTTCTCTCGCAGGACGGCCTGAAGCAGTGCCTGGCCGAATTCGGGAAGCAGCTCGCGTGGGTGGAAAGGCTGGACGTGACTCTGGGCCCCGTCGTGGACCCCGTCGCCCAGGGCGCTTCCAGCACAGATGCTGTTGACCCTGAGAATGATTTCCAGAGAGAGATGAGCTTGTAAGTGTCAAAGAAGAGGTTTCATGTAAGGTCTCAGCGTGCTGCTGCGTGCTTGTAGTTGTGTTTCACCAGTGTGCTGCAGGGTGCCTGTCACTGGCACTCTTGGGCCGTGTTATTTAAGATTTGATGGATCTGAATGTTTTCCAGAATAAGTACAAATTAATGCTAGGATATTTAACTTGCCTTGTGACTGAAAATAAATAATTTTCCTCCTCCCAGCAGACTTCCATCCTTTGCTGAAACGTATATTTTAAAAGTGCCTTGGTAGCAGCACTAAGGCTGTAATACAAGATATTGATTTTTCTTTGTGGGTTTGATTTGGTGTTCTTACAATTCTTTTGTTTTGCTATGCCTTTTATATTCCAGCATATTAAACTGTAACTGGCAATAAGTGCATATATGTAAGATACAAGTCTTAATATTCTGCCGGCACCTATTCACTAGCACTGTATGTGCACAGAACGTTGATGTAATTCTAGAGCAATGCTTGTTAGATCCCAGTATCTCCTAGCCGGTGTGCTCAGAGTTTCTGTCAGTGCTGTGGGATGCCTGACATGCAGTGACAGAGCTGGTGCAGTGACAGAGCTGGTGCTGTGCTCTCTCCCAGCTACCGGCAGGCTCAGGCAGCCGTCCTGGAAGCCCTTCCTAGGCTGCGGAAGCTCCAGGTTCCGACCAGGAGGCCGGATGATTACTTTGCAGAGATGGCCAAATCAGACCAACAGATGCAGAAGGTATGTGCAATGTCTTCCTTTCTTGTGTAATGTGTAGGTTTTATCCTGTAAGAGGTTGGAACATAAAGTAGAAAACCCTATTTATACTTTGTCCTGAATGTGTTTAATATTAAAAATGGAGAATTTTTCTCAGTGTGAGTGGTTGTAAAGTTGGCTGTGTTTTTGCTCTTTGTCATAAGACTTTGCAGTTGACTGTGTCTTTTACACGATCCTTTTTTTACTATTTATCACCCTTTGTTTATAGTCAGTGTTTTCTGGTTCTCAGTGATTTTAGACTGTCTGTTATTGAATGAATCTGTCTTGAATAGAAAGTCAAATTCGTGTAGGAAGTACACGAATGTACTTGCGTTTTACTGTAGTCTTTGCTCAAAAGGGAACTCTGTTTTTTGTTTTAGATTTGGAAAAAAGGCTATATTGTATAAGTTAAAAAACCATAAGCTGGAGTCTAATTTGGAGATTCATGTATGACTTGTTTTGGTGTTTGATAGAACCTTTCTAGAGAAGATGAAGAGTAATAAGTGGCTTGTGCTAAGGCTTAAGTCAATTCTGCACATTACTGTTCTTTTCTTTTGCTGACTTTGTCTGAACAGCAATTTCTATCTCCTGGTGGAGTCACAGACTGAATCCAGAAGATCTGTGTTGAAATCCTTGTAATCCTTTGTAATGTGGCATCCTTATAAAAATGTGATCAAGGAGGGAATGGAAAAGATGTTTTCTGTGGCACAGGATTATTGACTCTTCTTCAGTGCTTTACTTTTAGTAATGACAAGACAGAAACTATCAAATCTTCATGGACCCGAGTAGACTGACAAGATAATCTTTGTTCCATTAGAGCCCATTATAAGGCTTTGTCTTGTCTCTGTTTGAGTATTGTCTTTTCAACCAGGTTTTGGCTACAGATCAGTTCAGGAGTTTCTGTAATAACTGTTTTAGCCTTGATCTGAAAGGATGTTATGCCTTATAAGCATGATCTGATTGAGAGATGATTTTTTACACCCATATATATTTCACAAATACTGACTTAAGGACTGTTAAGCAATCATAAAATTCTCTTATTTTCTTTTGTGTTACTCATAAATTTCATTTTTTCTATCCCCTAATAAGATTCGACAGAAGCTTAAGAGTAAACAGGAAGCAATGGAGAGGTCTGAGAAAGCAAAACAGCTCCGTGCAATGAGAAAATACGGCAAGAAGGTGAGGAGCTGCAAAAGGGAGCTACAATCTGTGACAAGAATCTAGAGCCTGAGTGAGCAGCTTGGAAAGTGAGACCACCAGAGTCTGGCTAAAATATATAGAATTTGTCTAGTCTTCTGTCTAGCTGCTCTGAAGGAAAACAGAGCTAAAGATAGGATACCTTTAAAAGAATAGCTTAAAAAAAATTATGGGACACTGCAAGGAACAAAACTAACATTCTGCTTCTAATCACAGGTGCAAACTGAGATTCTGCAGAGGAGACAGAAGGAGAAAAAAAATATGTTGAATGCAGTCAAGAAATACCAGAAAGGTAGAGTTAACTTGACTAAGAGAGCAAATGTGTGATGGCAGCAGTGGTGTCTGAGCAATGTAAGGCAGCGTGATGAGTGGTCACTACATCTGTAGTTCTGGGCCTTGAGCTTGGGAGGCTGCTGTGCAGAAAGAACCGTGTGCCAGTGCCAGTGAAAAGCCTCTCAAGTAGCTGTTCTTCAGTGAGGGTGACTTGGTGCTATTACTTCCTTAGACTGAAAATTTGCTTTTTCTGAGCTGTGATGTCTTTGCTCTTGCAGGGCTGTCTGACAAGCTGGACTTTCTAGATGACGAGCAGACGTCGTCTCAGGGGAATAAAAAAGGCAGTGCAAGTCAACGGACAAAGAAGGGGTGAGGCTGGAAATGAAAGATGTTTAAACACAGAATGTCTGATTCTTTTCTGTCTTTTGGGGGGATAATTTTGGGAGCATGAAAGCTGTTCTGATGAGTGTTTGTTAAAATAAGTCCAAGGTGGCTTTCTGTCCCTAGAGAGAAATAAAACTGGCCAGAATGGCACGGAGACTGAAATGTGTTAATTTCTGCATCTTTGTTATGGGGGAAAAGGTTTATGATGGCTGTTGGGAGTCCATCAGCACATACCTGTGCCTTGAGAGCTTCCTGAGGAAAGGAATGTAGGGCAATGATGCTGTTTGGTTGTTTTTCAGACCAAATGCCAAAAGACGATACAAAAATCAGAAGTTTGGTTTTGGTGGGAAGAAGAAAGGCTCAAAGTGGAACACAAAGGAAAGTTTTAATGATGTATCCAGCTTCCAGTCAAAAGTGGCTCACAACAAAGGCCCAGGAAAAGCAAGAAAAGGAGGGAAAAAAGCCCTCAATGTAAGTAAAATGTTGTGTACAAACACTCCTGGTTGGCTGAGAAGCCAGCCCTAATCTGGGAGGGAGAGCTGAGTACATGATGGGTGCCTACAGCATCGGGAAGTGATAATGCCTGTCTTTGGGAGCTGAGCATGACTGGGTTGCTGACAGAGCTGAGAACAGTGGTTTGGTATCAGCAGGGAAATGAGCAAGGGAGTTAATACCACTTGCTGCCTGTGTTCTAAAACCTCCCTCTCCAGATGTACTGACAAATACCCTCTCCTTGGTATCCTCCCCAAGCTATAGAAATAGAACATATATTGAGAACATGAAAATAAAGATCTCAATCTGTCTGTTTGTTGCAGAAGAGACCTGGAAAGAGAGCAAGGCAGAAAATGAAGAACCGAGCGCGCTAAGAGGACTGTGCTTCCCACTGGGGTTCTTGTGTGTCTGTGTGCTGCAAGATGTGCTTCTGCTGGCATCAAGCAGCTAACCGTGGAGCAAGCTGGATGCTTCCAAGTGGCATGGAAAAGAGTCAGTGGAAACTAGTGCCTTATCACTAATTTCTTCATCCTGTTTTGTTGAAGGATTGTTTTCTACGTAAACCTTTGGTGTGTGAATGCATTAAATGGTTTGCACAGAACTATGTGTAACTCATGTTTAGCTGTTTTATGAATGGCAGCTGGAGCCTGCCCTTTGTCCCCTTCATTCTGACAGCTTTTTTCACCACTACTGCTGATGTGAGGTTGGAGACCTCGAGTTCTGGGTCATGTTGCTGATGTCAAAATAAGAAGTCTGAAGCCTGTCAAAATGTTAGAGTGGTTTTTTAGACTATTCATATAGATGGGTTTAGAAACAGCAATGAGACGAATACAGCAGTCTTATAAGTTTATTTCTGTCAGTGTTGTCAGGCTGGGACAGACTGAGGTTCTCTCTTCCCTTTTCTATTGTCTCTTACTAGAAGTCTACCAGACTTGCCTATTAACAAGCAGGCCTAACACATTAGATGTCTATCTGAGTTTGTGGCTTTCCCCCTCTACTACTGAAGGTTCTTACTCTCCTCCTCCCCATGCCTCAGGGCAGCCATTTATGTAGTGAACTCGGTTTTCCGGCGTGGGAAGTGGAGTCTGCAATCATTACGGTCCACAGGAATCTGGGAAAGAAAAATGACAAATAGTCATGTGCTTTTGCTAAAATTGGTAGTAGCAGTCCCTCCTGGGAAGAGTGATGCATGGTGTTCTTGCTGCTGAGAAATGTCCAAGTGAAAAACGAGCAGGGTACCACCATACCGTTATGGTAGAACTGCTTCATTATGGTAGAACCTGCTGAAAAAGGCAAGATTAACAAATTAAACAGCATTATGAGCCTTGACCCTATAAATTGAACTTGCCTCCCTTCATGCACATTTAGTTGCCTCTTTCCTGCCAGTCTAATCCTACCAGCACTATTTTAACACCATAAAGCCCAGCTGGCATGTCTGTCTCTACCCTTTGTCAGGAGTGACTAGTTTACTTGATGTATAATATGAAAAGTTGAGAAAAACTGTCTTATTTTCTTATTTGTCTTAGTTTTCTTTGTAATAGGCCAAAATTAATGAGATCCTCACTTGCCTTTCTTAAAACACTAATCTGTAAAGTCAGCCATCATCACAGCTATTTGTTTGCCAGGTATGATTGATGTCTCAGCTTGTTAATCATCCTTCTTTACCTCCTATTTAGTCACGCTTCCCCAGATGAATCCTCACTGGTGTATCTGCCCCGGGTATACTTAGATGATTATTAATTTCATGGTTCTGCTTGCACTTTGTTTGAAAGATACTGTGCAGCAGCAGATTTCTTTTCACAGTACTTACATATGTCACTTCACGTTGCTCACTACACCATTTCTCATGGCTGAAGGCTTTAGTAAACAGTGAGTACACATGTGGCATTTGGCACTGTGCTTGGGGTCCATTGTCACTGTACATATTTTGCATTTAGGTTTCTCAGGGGAAGTCTGCTGTTTCTGTGTTCACAAGCCTATGCCAGTGTGAGAGTCCTCTTAGGTCTAAGTTTAAAAAACTGGTTATGAACAGTTCTGCTCACTCCTGGTCATTCCTGTTTTCCATGTTTGTCACAAATTGTTGTTTTGCATGTGTATCTTTCAGTGGTGGCCTGAACACCTCTGAATCCTGCAAAGACCTGAGTCCTACTCACCAGAGGTGTTGTGTTCCAGCCAATTTCTTGGCTTTCAGTTTGCGGCTCTGAATATTTCTGTCTTGGCTGCAGTGCTGCGCGGTGAAAAAGTTTCAGGAACTCGTCTGTTGGTTTAAGAGACACAAATAGAAATGAAAGTATTTAAAAATTTAAAAATCACTCACCTGTGGATGTGTGTTAGAATGGGACAACTTAATGTTGTCCAAGCTATAGCAAGAAAGCCAAGGATAAAAGCAACCTCTGTGCTTCTATGAATTACACTGTCAGAGAATGCAGGGTGACGTTTCTACTTCAGTATTTCCTGATGCACTTTTAAGATTTGCCTGGTGATACTGTCCTGTTAATTCTTACCTGAGCATTAAGGTTTTTAGACAAAATTAGCATGTTAGAAATAAGGGAGCAACTGCTATAAGAGTTCTTGTCACCAGTGCTCTAAAGCAAGACTGGACAGTTATTTCAGCAGTTTACTATGTGTGGTGGTTAACTAGAATCTGCAATGACAGGCAAGATCATGTTTCCAGTTGTTTTGGGGAGGTTTAGATTCTCAAGCAAAATTTTATAATATGAATATAAAGAACTTTATATATTCTATAGTGTAGTATAGTTTTTAACTAAAAACAAATAGCAGAATTGCATGAATGCAAACTTTTGCTGATAATGGAAAGTAATGGGAAAGGGCCTTAAAGTGGAATAAAACCTGCTTCACATTTAACAAAAATCATGAACAAGTTTTAATTTTCTTGTATGGTCACAGAGGCGTTTCCACAGACATGATGTTTTAGACTGATTGGAATTATTAAATCTTATTTATTAGTAATTTTCTTAGGTAATTTTGAGAAAAAGATTTTTCAGAGATTTCTTACCATCTGTTGGCTCATCTATGTTGTCATGCCAAGACATTGGCTTCCTGGTGACTGTGTAAACTGGAAAGAAATGATACAGGTGAATAACATGAATTTAGCATCACAGCCAGGTACAGAATATGTATCATTGCAGATGTTCTTTTTGGTTATTCCCCAGTGTGGATCCAGCTACTTCACTGAAGCTGTAAAGGAAGAATGGCACGTGAATAGCAGAAAATGAGTTAGAAATACTGATTAATGGCAATTTCCTAGGAAAGCAAGGGGCTTAAGCATGCTGAAGGCCCTTCTACTGAATGCTGCCTGTGTTCACCACACCGAAGTCCCACCCCACCCAAGTGGTGGCCTGTGAGTGCCAAGTCTCAGGAAATTATTTTCCTTTGGTTTTTGTTCTACTGCAAAAGCTAGACCTGAATGAATATACTCCCATCACCTATCTGTGCCAGCACAGACTGTGATATTCTGTGACTCTGAATTGACAGGTAGAAGGTCCAAGGGCTGAAGGGACGTGGTGTAGTGATTGGGCTCTCTACCCCATCTTGGCTCTGTATTTGCTCGGGATTTGTAGGTTCCGCATCCTAAATAGTTGCCTCACTTCTCCAGCGTTACTAAAGGCTATCCGGGGCATGTCTCCTTGCTGCCTCTGAGTGTGCAGACCGGCTCCTCAGGCGAAAGAAAGGTCCACCGGTTGCTCCTTCCAGCTCTACCCCTGTCCCTGGCCACTGCTACCATTCCTGGCTGCAGCTGCCTATCCCCGCCGCGCAGCTGAGCGCTGCGGGCCCGCCCCCGCCTTACCGGGTTGGAGCGGGTTCACGGTGTACTGCGTGTATAGCTTCTGGTGCCGCATCTCCTTGTGCACCCGCTCGCTCAGGAGCCGGTCCAGCTGCACCGCGTCCGGCCGCTCCCGCTGCCCGCCGCGGGCGGCCATGGCCGGGCCGACCCCGCGTCCCGCTGCCTGGCAACGCCTCACGTGGGGCCCGCGGGGCCGCCCATTGGCCAGCTCGCCTTCCCGCCTCCCATTGGCCGCCGGGTTAAATCCCCCGGGCGCCGATTGGCGGCGGCGCACGCGGCACGTTCAAACGGCCGGCGGGGCGATGGAGGCGGCGCAGTTGTGCTGCACGGCGGCCGTGGAGGAGCCGCTGCCGGGGGGCTGCGGCCCGCGCCGCCGCGTCCTGCGGGACGCCACCGTGCTGCTGGGCCGCAATGAGCTGCGCCAGCCCGTGCTGCGGGTGGTGGGCGGCAGCGGCGCGGCGGCCGCAGTGCTGAGCTTCGTGCTGAGCGGGGACGCCGTGCGGCTCTTCACGCGGTTCGCGGGCGAGGGGCGGGCGGCGGTGCGAGTGGGGCCGGGCGGCGCGCAGGTCCTGCTCTCCGACTGCCCCCCGGACGCGCTGCGCCGCTTCCTCCGCCTCCTGCGGCTCAAGGTGGCCGCCGGGTCGCGGGGCCCGGCGCGTCCCCCGCGCCTGCTGGAGCGGCCGCCGGCGTCCTTCGCCGTGATCAGCCCGGTGCAGGAGCGGGACCTGCTGCGCAACCCCGGCCCCCGCCGCGGCTGCGGGGAGGGGCGGGGGGAGTGCCCCGCCGAGGTGAGTCCCGGGGAGACGGGCGGCCCCGGTACCGGGTCCGGATTCGGGTGCTGCCCTCACAGCGCACCGCTGTCTGTCTGTCCCGCAGGTGCCCCGCGCCGAGAGGCGGCCCCCGGCGCGGCTCTCGGCGGAGCAGGAGGCGGTGCTGGGAGCCGTGCGGAGCGGGAAGAGCATCTTCTTCACCGGCTGCGCAGGTGAGGGCGCCCGGCGGCTCTCGCTGGGGAAAGCCCTCGGGCCTCGCTGTTGACCTGTTGCTTCTCTCTCCTCGAAGGGACTGGGAAGTCCTTCCTGCTGAAGAGGATCGTGGGCTCCCTCCCTCCGAACGTCACCTATGCCACAGCCAGCACGGGAGTGGCCGCTTGCCACATCGGTGGCACCACTCTCCATGCCTTTGCAGGTAATGCCTGCCCGACAGCGAGCGGCTGGGAGCTTTCACTCCCTTCCCAATGAATCAGGAGCTTCCCAAAGCTTTGCTTTCTTCTCCCCTGCCAGGGATCGGCTCTGGGAAGGCACCGCTGGAACAGTGTATTCAGCTGGCGGAGAGGCCGGGGGTGCGCCAGCACTGGCTGGCCTGCCAGCACCTGATCATTGATGAGATCTCAATGGTAGATGGAAAGTTCTTTGACAGGCTGGAGGCCGTGGCAAGGTAAGCAAACGTCAGGTCAAACAACTAACTGAAATGAATTTTCCTAAATTTCCAGGCTGCTTCCTTCCTCGGGTTTTGTGAATTGATACAAGGCAGCTGCTGGCATAGGACTGCCAGGAAGCATGGAATCATAGCATCTGGGCAGATCTTTATCATGAGATAGGTTTTGATTGTGTCCCCTCTTCACTCACAGCTGTGGCTGTTCTAGTTGCTCTTTCCATCTCCTGAGCTAAGTGCTGTCTATAGAGCTGAGTCCAGAATACAGCTGTTCCCAGAAGTTCTCTCTTGCAGAGAGAAGCAGCTGTAGCATAATAGCCACCAAAGAAAGACTGGTAATGGCATCTGGGTGGGTAAGCAAAGCAAATTTAATGTCTTACCATTGCTTAATTGTATGAGCTCTTCTGATTCAGCTGAGGATAAACATCTTTTAAATGCAGGTGGTGTATATTTGAATATCCCGACAGATTAACAAGTAACTTCTGAGATCTGAGTATGTCGAGGTTCTGGAGGGCATTCAAAACTTCTCTCTTCCATCTCTTTCAGGGCAGTCAGAAAACGGGATGAGCCTTTTGGGGGAATTCAGCTAATTATCTGTGGGGACTTCTTGCAGCTACCTCCAGTTTGCAAGGCTAATGAGGAAACCAAGTTCTGCTTCCAGGTACAAAACTGCCCCTGAACTCGTTCTCATACTTCAAGTCTGTCTCTTTCTTAACCAGAGAATGATTTTTGCAGGCAAAAAGCTGGAGGAAATGTATCCACATAAACATGGAGCTGACTGAAGTGCGGCGACAGACTGACAAGACCTTTGTCTCACTCCTGAGTGCAATACGTTTAGGCAGGTGAGGAGAAGCTTATCTCTTTGTAATCTCTGCTCCCCACCTACGGAGCAGAAGAAAGAGCAGTTTGTCACTTTTCTGAGCTCTATCAGGAATATGTAGCTGGGGGAAAAAGCTATAAAAGCTTTAGTTAACGTAGGCAGATTTCATATATCCTGCTCTGGTTAGGAAGGACACTTTCTAGGGTTCCTCCTTAATTTCTGTGAGTTAATTCAATGGATCCTGAGCTGGCAGTGGCCAGGGCCCACACACTGGCACTGTTCTCCAACTTTTATATATCTTTCTCTGTCTTCCTCTCTGGAGGCCTGCAGCTTGCGCAGGCAGATCCAGCTGTGTGAAGGTTACTGCTGCTCAAGACCTGTTCCTGATCACTTTAAAGAATAACTCCCTTTTCCTGGTTACCAGGTGCACAGAGGAGGTTACCAGGCAGCTGATGCAGACAGCTACCAACAGGTCTGAGCGTGATGGGATCCTGGCTACACGGCTCTGCACCCATAAAGATGATGTCGAAATAACTAATGAGAGACGCTTGCAACAGCTATCAGGTGAACTCCCTGGAGGAAACTGCTGGCTCTGGGGCTGAGCTCTGAGTGGATGCAGTGGGGATACTGTGGTGTCAGGAAGAACTAGTGTTCTGTCATGCACAGCAGCACCAGTCAAAGCTGTGTGTCTTGGAGTTCGGCTGCCTGGGGAAAAAATTCAGGTTTTTTGTTAAATATTCAGTGTCACTTCTTGATGTGTAATAGACAGCAAGCTCATTGATTGCTATGAAACAGGGTTGGTCATTTATTGCCTCCACACCTCTGCTTTTTCTTTCTATAGCATCTTATTAAGGGCTTTCTCAATTTTTGCCTCCCTTTCTGGCAGTATTTTCTGGATACTTCCTTTAGTGATCTGATGTTGGCAGCAAATGAAACTAGTCATATGCTCAAAATGCTGGCTGCTCAGTTCTTATTTACTGCTGGCCTTTGATTCCTGTGCCTTTTCATGCTCTGCAAATTCTGTTGGGAAGAGAGGCAATAGTGAGCTCTCTGTTGTTAGATGTGACAAGGTTTGTGTGAAGATGTCCTAGCAGCAGAGCAGAATGGATATTAAAAGAGGAATTTCTATTAGAAATAAATACTGAGCCTCCTGCCATGCTGTGTATAATGTGTTCAACAGCTGCAATTTGTTATGTCTTTCTTTCCTTAACAGGAGAAGTGCACACGTTTGAGGCTCTGGACAGTGACCCAATGCTAGTGAAGTTAATTGATGCTCAGTGTCCTGTGGGTGGTAGAGTTGAGCTGAAGCTTGGAGCTCAGGTAAGTATGCGTACATACACATGGGATAGAACAGCAGATCAAATGGTATAAGAAAAATAAAGGAATATCAGATAAATATATAGAGTAGATTAATATACAGAATGCAGATTCAATATAGAATGTCTATGCCAGGCCAACAGAAGATTCTATTCCAATCTTTTATATTTTCTCTGCTTGGAATCTTATCCAAACAGAAAACGAGTTTGATTTGAGTGCAGTCCATGTCTTGGGGACAATGATGATTGCTGTGACTTTGACACACTTTTCCAATCAGGTTTAGAAGCTTTCAGTAGCAGAGAGCACAGGCAGCTCATAGCTGTGGACAGAAGCAGCTCAAGTGAAGTGTTCAATGCTGTAAAATAGCTGGGAATCCTAGGAAGGAAAGGCTGTGAAATAATTTTAGTTGGAGATGGTGCTCTCTCCTGCAATAGGCAGGATAGGATGATGTGGTCATATCAGCCTGATGTGCTTATGCTTCCTGGAAAGAAGTTTAGCTGCAGGTGGCTGAACAGGCTGTAAACCCAGTGCACTGAAGGATTTTTCTTTTTCTCTGTAGGTGATGCTAGCAAAGAATCTGGATGTGTCTCAAGGGCTGGTGAACGGGGCACGAGGCGTTGTTGTAGGATTTGAAAGTGAACAGAAGGGTAAGTGAGCTTCTTGATCTCTTGTTGAAGGGAGAGGGGAAAAATAACAAAAAGATTTTTCATTGATGGCTGATGACTTCTCAACTTTGTTTACTGCCTGGTAAGAATAATTAGAGGGAAAGCAGGGAGGAGATCTCTGCAGGCTTGGGGCTCTCACCAGCTGTGATGTCATGCACTGCATCAGCTGTAGCTATCTATGGGCCTCTTGTGTTTGCTTTTCTGTGTTGTCTAGATGTGGGTGCTCATTTGCATTTCCTGTTTTCTTTTGTTCAAGCAAGTTTTTGTTTGTTTTTTTCTCAAAGAATAATGTTCTGCTACCTGCAACGTGTATTTTTCTCTGCATCTCAGCTGATAAATTACCTGACTTTAATTCTCCTGCCTTAAGTAGGTGCCAAACATCATTTCAGTACATGCTATTTACTGTCTGTGGGTTTAGGTTTGGTTTAGGAGGGGGGGGAAAAAGTGTTCTTAGGCTGCTGACTTCCTGGCTTTTGAGTGTCAGGAATACATCCCTGTTTGTCTCCTGCTCCCATTCCTACAGGGCTGCCTAAGGTTAGGTTTCTCTGTGGGGTCACACAGGTCATAAGAATGGAGAAATGGGTCTTCAAAGGACCGTCAGGAGTTCACCTGAGTCGTCAACAGCTGCCTTTAAAATTGGCATGGGCCATTTCCATTCACAAGAGTCAGGTGGGTGTCCTTATACAGCTGTCTAAAGACTTGCACACCATCATAAACCTTATTTCCTGGGTGAGCTTACATTGCTGGTAAAACAGAAGGGAAAGCTGAAAGGCCCTTGTTGGGGGGGGAACTCCAGAATATGTGTGTTTAGCTGCACCTCTTCTGCTCATGATGCCTGCCTATAGGGTCACAGATGGACTAGATACACTGCTGGAGTTTCCATGGGGTGCTGCCATCTGCACAGTTGGTGTTGGACTATAAAGTAG